CCACCCCTCCCCCCACCCCAGGCCTGGTCCGGTGAGAACCGGTGTGCTCCGTCCCAGCTTTGTAGGGATGCGAGTGGTCTAACGACTACGGCATGCACCACCCGCCCACCGCTGACAATTCACATTATCTATGTTCCCCGACAGACTTCCAACCCGCTGTCCTCTCCACAATAGCCTTGGCGAGGATAACAAGCTTGGCACGAGCAGGGGCTTGGGGTTAGGGGTGGACGGTCCCGTCTAGGCCCCCCAGCCGCCGCAGCAGCAGCAGCGAGCCTGTACAATCCGTGGGCGAGTTTTTCCGCGACTTTGACGTACACCACACCAGTTCCCGTAATAATGCCGGTCGTCCGGCACGCTGCCGGTGAAATCGACTGGCACAGGTGGAATACTCAAGTTGTTTCATACTCTGAACAATGCCGGTTGCCCGCTATCGTGCAGGTGCGATCGTGCGGCAACGATGGGATATTCAAAGCTGCATCATACTGTGAATAGCGCCGGTGGCCCGCCACAATACAACGCCGGCAAAACTGGCTGAATCGCACCGGCAATTAATATTACATGGGGGACCACCACCCCTACTGTAATAACTTTTTCACTCTATTTGCAGTACAATTGACCAAAGTCTACAGCAAGGTTGCGACTCAGCTAGAGCACGGGGATGTGTTATCTTGTGTCATATACGGTACTACAGCAAGGTTGCGAGTCAGCTAGAGCACGGGGGTGTGTTATCTTGTGTCATATACGGTACTACAGAAGGTTTAGAGCACGGGGGGGTGTTATCTTGTGTCATATACGGTACTACAGTAAGGTTGCGAGTCAGCTAGGGCACGGGGGTGCGATCGATCTTCAAAGCGTAATTTTTCCACAACCAGGAAGGTGCGAGCGCCAACTGATACTTCTCAGGAAAGCGCTCGATGACATATTTCCAAAACCGTCCTTTTCGACAGCGGTGGTCTTGTCCTCGGTTGTGGAGAAATTACGCTTTCAAAACCGTTCGCACCCCTGTGCCTTAGCTGACTCGCAACCTTGTGGTAGGCCTGTCCTCCATCGGCCGTTTTGCTTGTATGACGGAGAATAAGAAGGTGGAATTACTTGAAATTAGTATAGAAATAAAGCTTGTGTATCTAAATCGAAAATAAAACGGCCGATGGAGGACAGGCCTACCCTTGTGGTACTCTTTCTCTCACCTTCACAAAGAAAAGAGGATCTTTCGCCAGGAGCTCCTTTCGCCCCACCCCTCCCAACGCTGCTGATGCTGCGGAGCCCCCTGACACCCCCACCTTGGGATCAAGCTGACGCCTTACCGATAACCCTCCCCCGGGCGGCGGGCGTTTCGCCGATGGAGCGGGTTTGTGGGGGGCAGTGGTAGCAGGATTAGCCTAAACGTGTGGGGAGGTGGGGTGGAGAAGGGAACCGGATGGAGGGAGAGGGGCGGGAAGTGAGAGAGAGGAGAGACAGAGAGACAGAGAGAGAGAGAGAGAGAGAGAGAGAGAGAGAGAGAGAGAGAGACAGACAGACAGAGAGACACACAAAGAGAGAGAGAGAGAGAGAGAGAGAGAGACGGCAACCAATCTCAGAAAAACAACGACGTCTACCACATACTGCAATACGAGCGGGACGCACAACTGCAAGCATAAAGCAACATCGAGGGGTTGGGAGCGAGCAGATGCTCCCCTTTCTCGCCGAACTGCTCGTCAACGTATGGTACTGCTGCTTGCCGAAGTATGGGCTGCCCTCATTAAGAACAAAACCGCACATTGACGGGGAGGGGTGGGGTTGTACTCATAGCCGTGCACGCCGTGGTCGTTAGACAGTTGACCTCGCTGTTGGAATACCGTAGGTTGCGTATGGTGTAACACCCCCTGGACCGATTTTCGAGGCTCGATATCTCGGCAGGAAAAGCCCGCGACGGTGCCGAAAACGGCGGCGTTAGAACCGTCTCGTCGAGAGATCGCTTTCCGACAATGGACACTTCAATTTCGGCATTCTCTTCGTCGCCAAGTACTCGGGCTTTGAAGATTAGTCCAGGGGGTGCGACATCTTACGCAACCTACGGTACTCAACGTCTGTCATTTGTATTTGTACTGCGGTGAACGAAAGTACGTACGTAGGTTATCAACCTCTCAGGAAAATTACCCTTTCTGAGAAACTGCCAGGGATACAACTTATCACAAGGTTACATCCCCAACACTCGCATCCCAATAAGGCCGGAACGGATCGATTCGCCGGGTTTCACCAGACCGGGCGTGTAGTACATCACCTCACCAAGCGCCAAGCGCCGTGAGGTATACGAGTGGG